TGCCAAGTAGGTTTTCACATATAAAGAATTTGCTTTGTGTTGGCATAATGGTCAAAATAAACAAGAGAAGAAAATAAATCATAAATAGAAGCGGAACAATATAACAGTATATTCACAGTATAAAAGGGAGAAAGGACTTATTCTGTGTGTGTGTATGTACGTTTAGCATTGTAGGAGTCTAGTTGCGTATCATAACGCAGTTATTTGACTTATCCATGATTATCCAATCGCTGTATGATCCAAGAAAAAAAGGTGGGCTCGTCGGGATTTTGGAACCGGAGACCTTCGCCCACCTTAAGCGAGAATCATACCCCTAGACCAACGAGCCGCCGCGAGATCTGCTTTCAACAACAGATTATTAGAACTTTAATGATCGCCGAAATATTGAGTGTTTTTTAGTTTGTGCTTCTATGTATATACAAAAAAATATTGTTGTTGAGCTTTTAGTATCAAAGCGCAACGACTCATAACAAATGAACTGTACTTCCTATTCAAACATAAGTACGTAACAAAGCGAGATGATTCACTCCTGAACGTCTGCGTCTTCGTTTACCACAGCAGCATTACTGTTCTGACAGACTTTAATTATATCTTATCATATTGATTGGCTGCGTGATTCAACCAAACATATTAATGTACACGCACCTTACTTATGCAACAGTTGCATTTTTAACCCATAGTGTCATTCAAATTGTAGAAACAATGCATGTTAGAGAAGCCATTCTAGGATGAATCTCCATAGTTACAATAAATGAATAGTCAAACAGGGAAAACGTGTTATTATAAGACATTAGGACAGTTTTAAAACACTGTAAATCAGTGTCTTAACTGAGCTGCTTCGTGCCGTGGCTTACTACCAAGCTGAGTTGTTAGTAGATATCAGCTTTTACTTTAATGTTGTGTCTATGCGATTTGACTCACAGACGACGTGTACGTTTGAGACGGTGAATGATCTTGTGCGTCGTTACTCTTCGCGGTGCAGTCACCTACCGGCCTGCCGACGTGGCGGGGCGGAAGAAGAGCTGCTGGCTGACACCAGACGGGTGAGCTGCACTGTCACTTTCACTAAAACAGAACTGTCTTTGAGCTTTTCTAACTTTCCTTTGCCTGCAACAACCGAAAAGACAAACCTCTGCGACAGAAACCGCAAGCTGGCGTTTCATGAATGTGCTGCAATGTTGGAAATGTGTTTGTGTCGCTCGTTAAGTTGATCATAAAGCTGCGAATAATAGCCTAATTGTGTTGTATTCGTATTTCAAACACAACAGAGGTCTTTGTTGAGTGCTTGCTGCACATCCTTGTGTGCGTTGTCACAGTGTAATAATGTGTTTAAACAGTGTTAAAGAAGCAGACGATGTTTTTAAAAATACGCAGACAAGGCTCGTATTGATGTTTTGTAATGATTGTTGTGATTGAGTGATGTGTTATAGGCTATAATTTGATTTCTACAGTCTCTTTAGACAGTTTACGGAATAAGTACAACATGTAAATTCTTAATACTTCAGATCAAAAGGAAATATTGGCGTTTTATACTCATTGTGCCTTGTTAGGCAGGCTGTAGTCTTTTATTCTGGGCAAATGTTGATATTATGAAGCGGTTTATTCACCATCTGCTGCATACAGTTTATCGAAGATAACATTGTGCTAAATGACATTTTGCTGCCAGGAAACCGGCTTAAACAAACTTAACAGTGATTGAACACATTGGGATGAGAGCAGTGATGTGGATGCACGTACAGCGACCGACCACTGGGTGGTGGTGTTGAACCTTGTGAAGCGTTAAACAAGGTTTTTTTGGCTCAATTTTCAAAATTTTTTAATGTGCACAACTTCTAATACGAATATTGTTCTGGCCTCAAAAGTTAACATAGCATGCAAAAAAATAAAATAATAAAAATAGGAATGTGTCAGGAATTTTATGAGCAACATAACTGTAAATGTTCATCATTTAATTTGTATTTTTGAAGCATTATTATCTAATAATGCTAATCTGTGATGGTTATTTCCTCAGAGATGATACAAATAGCAACAAAGTAAAATAAATGTACCTTTTACAGAAATTATACATGACTTCCTTTAGAAAAGTTATAAAACCATTTATTTTTATTGTCTATTATACTGTATTATACTCTAAATATAAAGTATTAAGTAAATCTTACATCCATACAAAGCAAAAAATAATGATTGTAACAGTTTAGTTTTCTGTTCTGTATCGACCATAAAGTTTGACCTCAAACATTTGATGTTTTGACTCTTAAATAGTCTGTAATGCTGAATTTGTGCAACATTTTAAAAGTAAAGATAAGGAGAGAAATAGATGGCGGTGGTGGTCAAGTGATTCGGTAGTTATGTTGCAATGATGATCACCTGGCTGTTAAAATAAGGAGAAATGTTTGCTTTGTATTGATCTATGGATCTTTATGTCTTGAGGATCTGAACTTTGTGCTAATGTGAAGGTGTCCGTCTGAGCATGTGATTATTTTACATATTTAAATTAGAGCTAATGATAGGTCGATTATTCAATTGGTTTATAGACGTAAAATTTTGATCATTTAGGTTAATTATTAAGAAACAAAATACTGTAATCATGAGACACCACAACCCCACATAGACATTAATTACATTCCCCAAATTAAAACATCTGTTTGTACCTTGTAAGTTTAAATGTTTGTTATATTGTTGTTTGTGTTTATGCAGTGTATGCACACTTTCTCATCTAAAATCAGGGATCTCTTCTCTTCCAGATCACCATGTCCCAAGCAGCTGCCCCCTCTGACGCAGACCCCTCTGCTGACATCACCCCTGCACCTACCCAGCCCCCTCATACTGACCAGGGCTCCTGCCAGGATGTCCCAGAAGCCCTTGCACCGCCCTCGGCCCCTCTGCAGCCTCCTTTGATCCCTGAGAGTGTCGTCCTCCTGCAGTCCAGCGAGGAGAAGACCACAGAGGACCCCACCACCACCACCAAGACTTCAGAGGGTCCGACTGACCAACCGGAGCCTCCCACTGACGGTCAGCTGATCGAATGTGACCAACCAGTGAGTCTGGAGCCAGACGCTGTAGAGGAGGACGTGGAGGTGTGTAGCTGATTAGTGATTAATATTGATATTGATATTTGTGAGTTTAGAATTCTGATTATTATATACTGTTCAATACTTGCCAACGCTCTCTGGATGACAAACTAATGGAGACACTGTTTCTAATACATATATACTGTGTATAAATATATATATGTGTCTTTTTGTGCTGCAGTTTCTTGTTTAAGTTCAGTCGACATATTGATTGATACAGATTTATCTGCAATAAGCTAATATCAACCGATATATCAGCCTTTATCAGTGCAGCCTTTAGCTGAGTATAATTTTGAGGTACTTGTAAAAGTATTTCTATTTCCTGCTTTGTTATACTTCTATTTATATTATTATGGATAAAGATACGACTTTATTGATTCCTTGGAAAATTCACAAGCAGTATATATTAAAAGTAAAAAAAAATCCCTACTGTTACCAGCTGCAACATTAAAGTAATGTACATATTAATTCATTAATATATTATATATCATAATCCAAGTGTGTAATATTAATTATTCTGAAAAGGTCCATTCTGTGTAATGATTTACTTTTTGTACTTTTAGTGTATTTTGATGCTAATACTTTTACTTAAAGCAGCAGCAAGGAAGTTTAATTCTTTGTTGCAATGAGTCTGTAGTGTTCCCTCCACCTCATTTCATTGATTTCAAGGGGAATTCGACCAAAACCAACCTAGTGGCAGGCGTTAAGAATAATGTAAAAATAGCCTTACATCTTCTCACTGATGGTCTTTGTTTATGTAGTTCATACAGAGACACCAGTATTAAGTTGTAGTTTCATAAGCAGTTCTTCCACTACTGGCCCATATTCACCTGAGCTTAATTAACTTAATTCACATATGACTTTAGGGTTGATCAGTCGGCAGAATATTTATCAGCAACTAAGTTATGATACTAACATCAGCACTTGCTGTTTTTAAATGTGCTTCTCAGTTTTCAGTTTGGTGCTTTTCTTTGTGTAAGAGTTTAGTATCTTTAGATTTTAGACTGTGGATACAAATAAACCAGATTTCACTCGGGGCTTTGGGGAACTGTGACTGTCTAATAATGAAAATAGTTTGCCTTTGAGGCTTGTAAAGATTAGCTTTGTCTGGATCAGCAGATCCTGCTGTATGTCTAGTATTTCTAAAAAAATAATGCAGACAAAAGCAATGTTTTCTAACTATTACTGTAACGTGTGTATATGTGTGTTTATGTGT